TGACATTGATGATTAGCTTTGAAATATTTCAGGTTAAATTCAAGTCTAAGTACCACTAGTCATATGAGGACAACTGATGTGAATTGGAAGCACAGAGCTATTCAAGGGCTAGCTTTGAAAACCAGCAAATACAATATATACTAAGGCAATGCTTTAAAATCATGGCAATAGTGAATAATGAGACACTGCAGCACATGTGAGAACAGGGGCGGTTTGAATGATAGGACCAAAAGTAGATGGAGGAAAGATAAGCATGTCCTTTCATCACCCCACGTGTTCAAAGACCATCACATTTCACCCCTTCACGCTATCCTTTCTGGCTTTTTGCATATGTGTGGCTCCTAGCATGGTCTAGGGCAAATATCTATGACACAAACTGAGACGCTATTTAGAGAATATACCAAAATACCAACTAGGGCAAGACCCCAGCACATCTTAAGAAGTTATAGACATATTTCAGAAATCAATTTAATTTTCAGATGACATTAACTCTTGTATTTAGTATACTTTAACTTAATGCTGCTTAACAGTGCATGAATCTGAAAGGAAGTGCTAGAAAGCCTCACGAGCACGCATGTGCACACACACGCACACACACTCACAAGAGTTATTTTCACATTTTTCATATGATTCCATAGAGATCCCATCCAAAGCTTAAAGTAGGTGCTTGCCAGTGCTTTTTTTTTTTGAGGGACAGGGTCTCACTATTTTGTCTAGGCTGGTCTTGAGCTCCTGGGATCAAACAATCCTCTGGCCTTGGCCTCCCAAAGTGCCGGGATTACACATGTGAACCACCATACCCAGCTTGCTAGTGCTTTATTTATTTATTTTTTGAGTCAAGAGTCTCACTCTGTCACCAGGTTGGAGTGCAGTGGCATGCTCATGGTCACCCCAGCGTCCACCTGTGGGGCTCGGGGATCCTTCCACCTTAGCCTTCCAAGTAGCTGGAACTACAGGTGCATGCTACCATGCCCAGCTGATTTTTAAATATACTGTAGAGATGAGGTCTCACCAAGTTGCCCAAACCCCCGGGCCCAGGCAATTCTCTCACCTCGGCCTCCCAAAGTTCTGGGATTATAGGTTTGAGCTACCATGCCTGGCTGCTGGTGCTTTTTATCTTGTCATTTTTTTTCTAATTAAAACTAGCTCCTAAAAAGAATGGCTTTGAATATTGAGAAAAGGCAAACACTAAGCTTTAGAAGTCAATTAGGTCCTATTGAATGTCATTATGGGATGTGGCCAGCAGTTTCACAAGGAGCTCATTTCTAATAAATCTCAGTATATGTTATACAGTAGATGGGATATAAAATATAGTGGATCAAGGAACAGTGTAGAAAGTGTCTGAACATGAGTTCAAAGTAATGGAAAAGGGACTACATCTTAGTGACATGCCTGTGAGAATGCACTGTTAAAGCAATCCATTGAAGAAGCTGGATGGTTCATGTGAAACACTTTGGACTTTGGAACTGAGGCAAAACACTGGGCCCTGCTGCTACATTTGAGATGACAACTGAACACTGCAAACAGAAAAAATTCTAAACTGGTGAAACTGAAATTAAAATCTAAATTCTGATTGCAACTGACACAACACCTTCTACCTAAATAGCTACTCAATGTGAATCTTCTGATTTAGGGTAAGGTTGAACTTCAAAGTTAGTCAGTATGTACTTTTAAGTCTTCATTGTGTATCTTAGAAGTTAGATAACAAGAATTATTTTCCAAAGCTTCCAAGATTATTCTTTACTTCTCCAGTATGTGCCTCTGAGGTACCTGAAACACTTGTATTGATCAATTTCAAACAATTACCAGGAGATGAGAAATAGTCCGGCTGTGGTCCTCATTTTTCACATTCAGAAACAATGCGGTAGGTACCACCACTTGGAAAAACTACTGGGCTGTGTCTACCAAAGCTAAAAACACATATACCCTGAGATTTAACAATTCCATTCAATAGTTGATCCCCAATAGAAATGTCAAAAGATATCTACTAGAGTGTTCACAGCAATACTAGTCATAATAATCAAAATCTGGAAAAACGACCTGATTGTCCATAAATAGCATTCTGTCATAATAATGATGATAATAATAATAACAATAACATAATAAGATAATAAACGTGGTCTTGTCACATAATGGAATAATACATAACAATGAAAACGAATAATCTATAACCGTGCACATTAATATGGGTGGATCTCACAAATATGATATTAAATGAAAGAAGCAGATGCAAGATAAACGGCAAAAACCATCCTAATTAATCCATGCTTTTTGAGGTGAAAATAGCAGTTACCAATAAAGAGAGAGCTTGGTTTAAGTGACCGAAGTCACAAAATCACAAGGGCGGCTGACAGGATGCTAGAAATGTTCATTTTCATTATCCACATATTGGTTTCATGGGTTTCTAGTCTGCAGATTTGAGCTGTATACTTTTGTGTATTTTCTATATGTGTGTTATAGTCCAACACAAAGTTAAAAACAAACAGTAATATCTTCATTAACAACAACAGTTATAAAATTAAAACCCCTAAGCCCCCAGTTACTCAACAATAGCAAAAATAAAGGGAGTTAGGAACTCAGCATTCTTGGTTTGCAGCTTGACTCCACACCCACTAGCCAGACGACCCCAATACAACAGTATCTTCACATCACAAGCACTGATTGAAATAAACTGGCCTTGCTGAAACAATTATCTTCTCCCTTTCTTTTCTTTTTAAACTGCCATTAATTTCTATAGCTCTTTTACTTATCAAGGACATGGACACTTTCAGACAACATTATTACCCCGCACCCACTAAAATGTGGCAACTGAGTGCCTAGAAATTGTTCGAAGAAAACGACAGCACCTGAAAATGCTTCAGGATCCCTGCACCAAAGCTAAAGCAAGTATGACCTCTATATCCTGTGTAGCGCTGGCTGAGTTTACAGAACAAACTTCTTGACCTGAATGGATGTTTAAGTATGACAGATGGGAGGATCACGGCTCAATATACTCTTGTGAATTAAAATGGACACTTCGGAAACAGACTTAATGTTCTGCAGCTGGCTGTCCCAATTTAAAACATGCAACTTTTGTAGCACCGTGGGAGAGGGACTGCTAGTAGCATCAGATGTCTGGAAGTAAATCTGAACTTAGTGACTTTCGGAAACACTGTTTTTGAGGTTGTTTCCCACCTACATATAACCATTTTTGTAAACTGGTTAACCAGGAGTCCAGCTGCAGGAATGTTTGGATGTTTCCTTGTGGCAGGAATTCGCCATAAACTTTCTCTGTTACTCCCCAGAGACCCTTTTATAGACGAACTAGTTAGTGATGATAACGTAACAATAGCTAAAAATTCCTGATGGAACTAAAACTTTATAAAGCTATAGTGGGCAAAAAACAAAACATGTTTGTCCATCTCTCCTGATACCATATTAGGTATGACTGAGGCTTCAGAAGTGAATGGAATGAGAAATCAGGAAGTCTGATGCAGATTTCATAGGACAGTGCCAGAAGTCTCTTAATTAAAACAACAAAGTACCTGGTGAAAACACGTCAGAATAGATTATAAGTGGGAACTCATTTAAAATCATCCTGTCTTAGATGGAATGAATTATTTTGTGTGCTTACATAGGATACTGAATTTAAAATTAGATCTCTTATTATATAATTTGTCTAAAACGTAAAACATGAAATCTTTTATACGGCCCTTTACAAAACAGAATTTACACAAGTCTTTTCTTTTTTTTTGAGTTGGAGTCTCACTCTGTTGCCCAGACTGGAGTGCAGTGGCCGCTCCTGGCCACCGCAGCCTCGACCTGCTGGGCTCCGGCGATCCTTCTGCCTCAGCCTTCCAAGTAGCTGGAACTACAGGCGCGTGCTACCACACCTGGCTAATTTTTTGATTTATTGTAGAGATGAGTTGCCCAGGCGGGTCTCGAACCTGCAGGCTCAGGCAATCCACTCATCTCAGCCTCCCCAGGTGCAGGATTACAGGCTGAGCCACTGAGCCCAGCTACACAAGTCTTTTCTTTTGGTCCATAACTTTTAATAACCAGTGATCAAATTTACTTTCTAACATTCACTTACCAGTTAGCAATTTTGCTTTTTTTTTTAAGCGGGGGTGGGTCTCACTATGTTGCCTAAACTGGTCTTGAATTCCTGAGCGATCCTCCTGCTTTAGCCTCAAGTATCTGGGGTTACAGACACCAATTTTGCTCTTGTAAGAATGTCTTCTCAAAACAAGCAGGCACGGAGCTGATACGAGTCCCCCTCATTACTAGGCTGACCACAGGCTCTCCCAGGATTTGTCTGCACCCATTTGGTTTGAGGCTCCTTTGCTCCTCCAGACTATCTGAAGTTGAATCTTAGTCTCTGTCAATTTTCTACAACTTCTGCCTTCTAACCAGTTCTTACGCGGGTGAAAGAAGAAAGCAGGAGAAAAAGCGGTCATGGAAGGAGACTTTTAAAACTTAAATTACGGTATATAATAAAACAGATGAATGTTTATGCTACATCTTAACTGTAGAAGCCAGTATTTGTGTTATCCAACAGCCTCCTTGAGGAATATTAAGCCAAGACTGGCTTCTTCTTGCCATCTAGCATCTCTGTCCATTACCTACTAATGCATACTCTGAAAATGCAGACTAATTTCAATGGTAGCCAATCCATACGTGGATATACATCCAATGCTGCTAAGACAAAAATCGAGGAGAGAGAGGAGGACAGGGAAGAGGAGGAAGAGAGGGAAGAGGGGGAGAAGGGGAACAAGCCTTCTCCAAAGCCAAAGATTACTTCGATTTTCTAGTTTACCTACTATAGGACAATGCTATAATTCTCTAAACATAAATGGCTAAAGATTATTTGCTGTTTTGCATTGTCGCTCAATTATATTAACTAGATAGAAGATGCAAAGTTCCATAAGTTAAAAAAAAGTACCTTTAAACATGTAAAGCAGATTATTACACATGGATGGTAAACATATTTATAAAACTATGGGATTTTTCTATCTGTTTACCTCTGACATATCATGCACCAGCAAGAGAGGAATGCTTATTGTTGTGATGTCATGGGTACAGCAAACTTTGAGTATATTTCGGAGTCCCATAATGGCAGGATCACGGGCAGTGATGTTTCCTGATTTGACATGGTCATCCACACAAAGATGGAATGCAACATGGATTTCTGAGAGATTAGAATGTCGCGTAATATAAAATTCTCCTGTGAACAACAAATACCATTACGATTATCAGGTGCATAAATCACATTCAACAATGGGCTATATAAATAACTGCAATAGGCCGTCAATGTGTGGAACTAGTAGGGATGTATCAGGAACATTCATGGGGCTCAGGAAGTGACTATGAACACTGCTCTTTAATTCGTGGAAAGAAGGTAATAAAATGAGACAATAGTACATTTTGCAATAGGCTCATTAATTGATATGAAGTGACTACCCAGTAGGAAATAAACCAAATGAGTGCTCATCATCTTAATGTTGATGTAAATGCTTCAAATGTCAAACTTAGGTATAAACATGTTATTTGATGACCTGTTTTTTCCCATACCCTGGATCTGCGTTTCCTCATCTCAGTTTATGGGACCAATTTCTGTCGGGTTAGTTGCTCAGGACAGAAATCTAGACTGGGTCCTTCGTTCCGTTCTTTCCCTCGATGCCTTTTCCCCCATTGGCAACGCAATCTGCCACTAACTATGTTTGGTTTTGTCTCCAGAATATCCCAAATCTGAACACACCACTTTTACTGCTGTCACCCTAGTTCATGCTATCATCATTTCTCACTAGGTCTTTGAAATATTCTCTTAACTGATTGCTTTGCTCCGTTCTTGGCCACCTACAAACCATTTCTTCGTTGCCGCTCAAATGATTTAAATACAAATCATATTATCACACTACTCTAATTAAACTGTAAAAGAGGTTCACACTGTAGTATCTAGACTCCTCTCCCTCCAACGTGTTCTTATACTCCACCCACACGGGTTTTGTTCAGTTCTTCAAACATGAAGAGCTTGTTCCCAACTCAGGGCTGCTGCTTGGAGAGCGTTTATCGAAGATTCTCGCGTGGCTGACTTCTTTCCACCCATCACATCTCAGAGCAAAAGTCACCTCCTCAGAAAAGTCTTCCTTGACTATCCTATCGAACACAAAATTCTCCCACCCCTCAATAATTTTTTCACACTATTATGTTTTTTCTTTTTAGCACTGAAATTATTCTGTTTATATAGATTATTATTATTTTTGAGTTGGAGTCTCACTCCGTCTCCCAGGCTGGAGTGCAGTGGCACACTCGTGGCCACCCCAGCGTCAACCAGCTGGGCTCAGGCGATCTTTCTGCCTCAGCCTTCCGAGTAGCCAGAACTACAGGCATGCGCCACCATGTCCAGCTAATTTTTTGATTTATTGTAGACACGAGGTCTCACCAAGTTGCCCAAGCTGGTCTTCTATGTGTCATCTGTTCAGTGTGCTAGAGATAGAACATCAAACAAGAAAGACAAAATTCCTATGGTCATGACACATACACAGTAGCCTCTTTAAAATAATTTATGGAAGCCAGGCGCAGTGGCACAAGCCTGTAATTCCACACTTTGGGAGGCCAAGGAGAGAGGATTGCTTGAGCCCAGGAGTTTAAGACAAGTCTAGGCAACGCAGCGAGACCTCATCTCTACAAGAAATAAAAAATTTAGCTAAGGGTGGTAATGTGCAACTGTAGTTCCAGCTACTTGGGAGGCTGAGGTGGGAGGATCGCTTGAGCCCAGGAGGTTGAGCCTGCAGTGAGCTGTGACTGTGCCACTGCACTCCAGCTTGGGTGAGAGTGAGACCCTGACTTAAAAAACAGGAAAAAAAAAAAAAGAATGTTTTTACAAATATACATGCCTCGGGTTCGAGACCCACCTGGAATCAAAAAATCAGCTGGGCGTGGTAGCACACGCCTGTAGTTCCAGCTACTTGGAAGGCTGAGGCGGAAGGATCTCCGGAGCCCAGCAGGTCAAGGCTGCGGTGGCCAGGAGCGGCCACTGCACTCCAGTCTGGGCGACAGTGAGACTCCAACTCAAAACAAAACAAAAAACAAATATACATGCCTAACTGGAAATTTGAATGTGTCCTTTTAGAAAAGACTTGCTCATCTCTACGCTTCCACTACTAACCCTTTCCCTCAAGTTCTGCTTACCCTTGCTTCAAGGTCATTAGCTTAGCATTTACTTATAGTGTATTTTAAAAGTTCTTAATATATGTTAGCTCGATGTGTAACATTTCTATTTACCAGTGTACATAGGCTGTATGCATAGATGTCTCTGACTGGCTCCAGAAAAAGGTTTTTTTTGGTTGTTGTTTTTTACCTAACAAGGTAAAGGAATTGGATAAACAGAAGAATACTATATATATTAAAGAAAGGATAGTGACAGAGATACCAAAATAAACTGGACCAAGAGAAAGTACTTTAGTTATAGTTTCCTAGAAAGGCAGTAAAAGGCACAGACTGCTTATCAGAAACCCAGTGGGCCATAAAAGACAATATCCTTCTGGGTCCACTGGTATATTACATTCTAAATTGCCACTGATAATTCAGATGATGGAAGTCCTAGCTTCAAATGTGGGCTGTGGTCCAGCAGTGTGGCAGGATGACTTAGTGAAAAGTCAGGTGCTCCTAATCCCCAAACTGGCGCTGCTTCCTTTGACCTTAGGTGACTTGTCTCTTGGCCTCACTGTATCCATTAATAAAATGGGGGTCATGGGACTGGCAGTAGTAATCAAAGTAACATGATATAGTAGAAAAAGGACTAGATTGGATGTTAAAAAGATCCGGTTTCCAGTGCTTATTGGCTGGGCGATCCTGGGAAAATCAATCCAACTTATTGATCCTCTGGTACTTTATGTATGAAGGGAAAAATAATGCCTGACTGCTATCCTGACAAGGTTGCTCTGAGAATTGGATGACATAAACTATAATTACTTAGATCATGAGAAAGTACACTACTACTGGCTGAAAAGTATGTAAACAAAACTGTTTTTCTTTGCAATTTAAAAATTTAAAGCAATTTGTGACTTAGATCTTTTAAAAAATCCCCTGTAAGCATTCTGATTGTGTGGGCATCCTTTAACTAAATGGAAAGTCATATGTTACTACGATATCTAAATGAACAGCTTATTATTCCCTTTCTAACTCAGACTTATGGCATACCCTCCTGACTTGGTGGCAATAGTGATACTAACCTACAGGCTTTTAAAAAAAAAGTAAGGAAGGAAGTAAATATAGCAGTAAAGAATCAGGTTAAAAGAAGCATTGGTACCTCCAGAATAGGTTAAAATTGGCAATTTTAAGAAAGCCACAAACTATGGATGATTTAAATTATGGATCTATGAAGAGAAATACAATAAATCCTTTGCTGAAGGTATTTTTAGATGAAGAGGAGGATGGTTTCCTGTTCCACAAAGAGGAGGAAACAGCATGTGTTGATTCTAACATTATCCACTAAGGTAGGATATCTGAAGGTGGAAGGAAATTTGGAGGCTGATGACCACAAGCTAACTGACTGAACCTAACAAGATAAATACCAGAAATGGATATGAAATTTGCTCAGAGTAAATGTAGAGTGACCTACGAGTCAAAGATCTGAGGAAGAAAATGTGAGGAAACAATCTTGATGGAGAACAGAAAATTATCAAGAGATGGCTATTTCTGAAACTATAAAATTTACCACTTAGTTTTAAAAACTTTACACTTATAAAACGGACAAACAAGCTGTCCTTGTTATGTCCTGTCATGCAAAAACTACTAAGGGTCATCAGAGTGAATTCAATCAGAAAGAAAATAGAGAATTTCCAGGTGTTAAATAACATGTGCAAGAGTAACAAAGGAAGTGAAAGAAACGGAAAGCAGAAAAGTGTAAGGGGAGATGAAAATAAGAGTCTCAATGAGATGACTCATTTTCTCTCTGTAAGTTCAACAGTTTACATGTCTATGGACTATTGTTTATGTTCACTTGATCTGAGCCATAAGGCAAGAAGCATGTTGTTTATATTTTAGAGTAAAACTTATTTCTTGGTTCATTTTTTAAGAAAATAAGAAACAACAGTTAAGAGGAAATTTGAAATAGTAAATAACAATAAAACATGTAACTTAAGGAATTTTTCTTTTATGGATCTAGAAAAAAGTCAGTACTAATATAGTATAAGAATAAAGTTTTACATCGAAGAGCATCTGTGAAAATGTATTGGATAGGCCGGGCTCGGTGGCTCAGCCTGTAATCCCAGCACTTTGGGAGGCCGAGGTGAGTGGATTGCCTGAACCCGCAGGTTCGAGACCCGCCTGGGCAACTTGGTGAGACCTCATCTCTACAATGAATAAAAAATTAGCTGGGTGTGGTAGCACACGCCTGTAGTTCCAGCTATTTGGAAGGCTGAGGTGGAAGAATCGCCGGAGCCCAGCAGGTCGAGGCTGCGGTGGCCGGCAGTGGCCACTGCACTCCAGTCTAGGTGATAGAGTGAGATTCCAACTCAAAAAAAAAGCAAATGTATTACATAGATACAAAATGTTATTTCAAAGTAATATACTGACATTTTATAAGGTACACCATAAGAATTTATGTTTTAAATCTATGAGTTTAGTATATGTGATTATAAGAAAGTTGCAATTTAAAATAAATAAATACTTACCAGGTAAAATATTTAAATAGTTTCTCTCAGCATTTTTAGTCTTGTCATCACTGCCTCCATTTGGGTTTCCAGAATCTATTGATAAGGTAATGCAACATGAAAGAACATAACAACATATGAAAACACATCACTACTACTATTTCCCAAACAATCTAACAGCAACAACTCACTAAGGGCCTTTGTGTGCTAGGCTTTCTGTTACATGCTTTACACAGATGGTCTCATTTAATCCTTGCAAGGCCTCTATAACTGTAACCCTCTGAGGTAAGTACTATTACTATCTTCGTTTTACAAATGAGAAAATATAGACTTATACTGATTAACTTACTTCACCAAGCATACACAAATAAATGGTGGAACCAGGTCTTGAACTCATACACTCAGATTCCAATTTCTATCCTCTTAGCCATATTAGATGCCAATATCCTATTTTTCATCTGGGAGGTTCAGGGCACCAACTTAACTACACATAAAATAACTTCATTAGATAGTTGTGGTGTGGCCATCTCTATTTTTAGAATCTGAGTCACTGCTGTTGATATAACTCGTTCAGGACTACAAATAAATGGCTAGTAGCACCAGGAATTGCCTTATATCCAACCTAGTTCTGAACTTTATCTAACACTATAGACTATCAATTTCAAACAAATAAATGAAAGTCCGTGTCAAATGGAACATTTTTTCAGATATTTAATAGTTTTTCTTCTTTTTTGAGGACATGATATTTCTTAGAAGAATAAAGATAGTAAAATAAGAAACATTATGATTGAAGATACACTATTAAGACAAATCATTTTATATACATACATATATTTTTAAAAGACGATACATCTAAATTTTATAATAATCTATCAGGACTCACAAATGCAAAAATGAATATTAGTTTTCAAAGTAGCTATCTTTGAGAAGCTACATATTTATTCCAATTAAATTAAAATCTATTTTGGAATGACCTTCAGTATCAGAAAATCACATGAAAACAGTCAGACCTTCAAATGAGTAAACCACAAATATCAAAATATTAGTTTCAAAAATGATCTGAATAAAGGTAACTTAATATTTTAATCTAGTGACTACTTTGATAAATTGATTATAATATCATACCTTGCAAATGCATATACTTTATAAATCAGGAGACAGGCCAATCAGAGAGACAGAAGGTTGTGTTGCTAGAATGCATCTTTAATGTAATATTCTGCTTCTAATACAGAGCCATGTAATTGATAGGCTTTGAATAAAAATCTGATCATAGCACAAATAACAAAGAATAATAAATAAAAACTCTATTTTTGTTCACATGGGGTATGAACAGAGAATCTCTATGAAGTAAAAAAAAAGAAAACAGTTCAAGTCCATTCCCTTTTCCATGCTCTAATGGTAATATCTCATTTAGTAATACTAAGAAGATGGCTGTTTTTATTTTTCAAATGTACATAAAATGAGCATTAAAAACAGTTTCTGCCTTTTGATCATGGACCATATAAATACAAAGATATTATAACAACCACAATAAGAAAACAATGAGATGCCCGTAGAATGAGCAGGTTCTTGTACATGAGGTTGTCAGGATGTCAACACGCAGAACAAATACGTAGGCATGCACAGAAAAGGAAAGGACAGAAAAAGTATCTTCACAAAGCCTGTGTGTAATGACATGCAGGTTCCTTTAAGAAAGTTGTGCTTTATAGACCTACTTGTATCACTGACTCACTTCAACCACAAAGTAGTTGCTTAAACAAGAACAAAATAAAACCCATGATATACACACACTGCCTTAACTGTATGTGGTTTAAAAACTTCCTGTTATTTACTGCACACTTTCTATCTCTCATAAATATACTTAGAATCCTCCTTCTCCCACACCTGTTATGATCTCAATCTTCACGCATTTAGTCACTACTAAGAATAATAGTAAAACGTTTCTGATCATATTATTGCTAGTTGGAATGAGAAGAAGAAAGATTATGGTAGAAAGACAAGCGGGCACGCTGGGGTTTGCTGAAAGCTCCTTTGTTAGGATACACTTCTATGCTGATTTTCGAATACTCAGCCTGGCTCTGTCACATAGAACATATGTTGCCACAGCAAAGCCACAATAACCTTTATTGAGAATATAGACTGCTGAAACAATTGCTACAGAGAGCAACTGCTAACACTATCAAAATTATAAACGTATGTCCCCTTTAACCCAAGAATTTATCTCCAAGAATATCTTTTGCAGGTATGCTTACTGCCCACAAAATGATTCATGTGCAAGATTATTCGTCATTATAATTTAAATAAATTAGGAACAGATTAGATGTCTATCAGTAAGAAACAGTAAGAATAGAATATCCTGCAATGAGGATGGTCTTTATGAAATGATATGAAATAATCTCCAAGATAAATTATTCAGTAAAAAAGCAGAGTTCAGAATAGTGTATGTAGAAAGTTGCCATTTGTCTAAAACACGGAAATAGACAAATACACACATACACACGCTTACATATACATAAACATCTGTCTGTAAGGTACACATGACAGTACTGGCTGCCTCTAGAGATTGATTAGTAGGGGACACAGTTAGGACGACTTTCACTGTATGCCCTTGTGTGCAGTTTAAATTGTGAATCTTGAGAACATTTCACCTATTTAAAGAATGATTTAAAAACACATAAATTTTTTTAAGAAGTCTATTGAATACATAAGAAACGACAATGAATGCTAATTAAGTTAAGGCTAGATAGCTACATTCTAGCTTCAGAAAGGAGAAATTCTACAATTTACAAGGGCGAGAAGAACAAAGACACGAAGTAAAGATAGAATAATATCTCTCTACTAGAATAAAACATAAAACACATGCACCTAAAGTTCTATAATGGTTTCTTTTAAACAAGGCAGCTACAAAAAAAATTTTTTAAAAGCATTCAAAGTACCAGAAGTAGATTTAAAAGTCTGAGCAGCCCCAATTTTAAGTCTCACCATATTTTATTTTCACCAACATCAAGTTTTTATAAGAAATAAAATATGCTATGCATTCAAGCCACCAGACGAAAGCATGTATTATGATTTTACGTGTGTGATAGCATATGAAATATCAGAAAAAGAAGAAAAACACATCTTAAGAATATTTTTAAATGCCTATTACCCTAATATTTTACTCCTAACTAAACAAACTTGTGGTATTGATTTACTTTTAAACTTTTATTTTTCAATTAAAAAACAGCTGAATTACTCTGTAATTTGAGCCAGAGTTTTTTCTTTTACCTGCCTTCTCTCAGCTATCTTTCTATGTGTAGATAGAAAGCTTCTGAAGAAAGATACCCATAACACTTTCCATAGTTTAAAAAATATTTTCTAATATGAGGTTCCTTAAAAAATTGAAAATATAACTATATTATGATCTAACAACTCTATTTTGGGGTATATATTCAAAGGAAATGAAGTCAGCATCTCAAAGTTACCTTCATTTCAGCATTATCCACAACAGCCAAGATAGAAAACAATCTAAATGTCCACACACATACATATGCACAGTACAGTATTATTGAGTCTTTAAAAAGAAGGAAATCTTGCCGTTTGTAACAACAGGGATAGACCTGGAGGACACTGTGCTAAGTGAAGTAAGCCAGATGCAGAAAGACAAATGCTGGATCATCTCACTTATATGTGGAATCTAAAATAGCTGAATTCACAGAGCAGAATGTCTGCTACCAGGGCTGGAGGGAGGAGAAAAGGGGAGAAGTTGGCCAAGGGGTACAGTTTCAGTCATGCGAGATGAACAGTTCCAGGCAATCTAAAGTACAACAATGTAATGAGAGTCAAAAATATTCTATTGTATACCTGAAATTTGTTAAAGAGGATAGATCTCAAGTGTTCTTACCACATACGCAATTAAGTGATAACTATCTGAGACAACAGATATGCTCATTAGTTTCAGGTGATTATCCTAATTTTCTTTACAATTTCAACGATAATCTATCTGCCAAGGGTGACTAGGGACAGGACATTCTAAAAGGCGATGTTTAAAGATGCGAGTTTTACCTACCATGTGAGTCTTTGGACTTGCTCCTGCGCTGGGTTCGCGCATAAAGTACCACCTGCTGAACAACTTCCAGCTGCTCTTCAATGCGGGGAAAATGGAAGTCGGTGCATTCTTGGCAAACTGTGGCAAAATCTAAGGAACCCAAAACAATTACAAAGCTCTAAATGTGAACTATCAAATATCTAGTATTTATTTACAGACAATGAGATCTAGTAGAAACAGAAAACAAAACTCACAATGTAATTCCTTATACTTGTCTTTTCAATAATTATGTCTCAAGGTAGGGTACAGCAATTTTGTTTTGATCAGAAACTTAACTTCTTAATCACTTGAAAAAGTAACAACAGACAAGGAAATTTGAATATAATTCCTGGTCTTCTTTAAATACTTTGATCATAATCCACCCCCAAAAGTGCTATGAAATACATAAGCTGAGGGAAAAAACTTTATTCAAGCTTCTTTCAAAAGTAGATATACATTTCAATATATTTTAGTTGGTCAAGAATTTAGAAATAATCATAAAAAGTGAGTTGTACTGAGAGGTAAGACAGAATTTCACCTAGTACATTCAAGCAGTAGATCAAAAAAAGAAAGAAATAGTGGATAAACTAAATTATCAAGCTAGGATCTACTTTGGAAAACTACATTATATTTTGATTTTTTTTTTGTTTTACCTTGAAATTAGGATGCCATAAGAGTATTATTTACAATATAAGCATAGTTTAAGAAAAATTAAATATCATGAATCACCCTATCAATACTAAAGTATGAAATAAATCTAACAGAGTGATGGCTGGGTATGTTTGTTGTTTGGTTCATCTGAATACTGGGGTGAGCAAATTTCTTTTTCAGTTTTTCTATTCCTTTCTCTGTAAGAACAGTATTACAAGAAAATACTTAATGAACTAAATGCATATGATGGTAACTTACCTCTTTTAATACCACTGTATGAATTAATTCGATTATCAACTAGTAAGACCAGGCCACAGAGAGATGTAGAATAAAGTGAGAGTGCTGTTTGGAGCCGATGAAGTTTCACACCACTTCGATGATTTCTTTTATGCTTACAGAAGTCCAGCATATCTGCTCTTAGCAATCTCAAATTATGCATGGTTTTCAACTGGGCTCCTGCGGGGAGGGGGGGGTAGGCAACAGTCCCAGAAAGATACTTAAACAGCTGCAAAAATCCAATATAATAAGATGTAAATCTCTATGGCAAGAAGCCAGATAAATCTGTGCTATAAAAAATAATTAAAAATGGGCCTTGCAACTTCCCATTTTAATAACGATTACAACTTAATCTTTCTATCCGCAAAAAATATATAAACTAAAGTAGAAAACTTATAGCTAGTAAACTATAGGCTTTCTTGGAACAGGACATAATTTGGAATTAAAAATAACATGGGTACTCTCTATTCACAAGCTAGAAATTTTTCTCTTACAGCATAAAAAACGTTTCAGAAGTGACAACAAATTATAACTGCAAAAAATTAATACACTTACCTAAGTGAATGGTAAAACTTTCTTCTAACTTTCTCTGTTCCTCATAAATCCTTCCAACTGCTTCTACAGATTCTCGGAACTGACTTGGTTGAACTTTAATTTCCTCACTGAAATTAATAAAAGTATTCATATACTTTCTCTGCATGTTTGTAAAAAAAACTTTTCTTAAAGGAAAGGAGCTTCTAACAAAATGAAAGAAAACTGAACAGCTGAGAGCAGTGCTTAATTTATTCCTAAACTCATCTTTAATCCCTCAGTAGATCTGACTTTTAAAAAGACTAAGCAAAAATAAAGTTAAAAATATAAAATACTACTTTTATCAGTCTCACATAGGTGCTCTATTATATGCAGTTGTGCCGAAAACAGATTCCCATTGCCCAAAGAAAGAAACATCTATCAAAAAGAAAAGCAAACTAACAAAGTTACAACAAAATCATTCTTTCTGAAGACGATTTGGTTTTTAAGCATCAGCATCAGCTAAATGTCAATATTTACACAATGGAACCAATCCTATAGATTGAATTTCTGAAACTATAGTCGCCAAGTGAGGGATAACCTTTATATAAAGGGGCTTTCTTAGTTTCCTTAAATCAGTGGCTTTCAACTTTTTTGACTACACTATACAGTATGTATGTTACATTTTGGCTCGATGCACACATTCATTTATAGAAAGCTTCATGTATGGTGCATTTTTTTCCCCTATTCTATTCAATTTTATTGTTATTTTTTAAAGGTTGGCTGGAAAGCAAAGGATCTGGAATGATCCCTAGCAGACTGCAACTAACAGCGTGGGAAAATAATAAGACAAATAAAAGATTATAATATTTGAGTAAAATGATATTGCTATCAGGTAAGTGTTGAATAATAATTCATCTATCTCATAAATATTTACTGAGCATATCTTATGTGCCACTGTAAAAAGCTAAATATTTGGCAAGGAGCTGAGTATACAGTGTTAAAAAAAAAAAAAAAAAGCAGACATGAGACTGCCATTATACAAATAAAATGCTATTTAAAAATATTTATAGCACATACTAATATATTATGAAAACAGGATTATTATGCTGTACTCAGTATATTTCCAATTGAAAAACTTGAAGATTTGAAAGAAGAAAAAAATTCTCAAATATATATATACATACACACACACACATATATACACATCCCAGAAATAAGGCAATACATGACATGCAATCTATTTAGGCCATAAGGTGCCATATACATTTTGAATTATGAAAAGTCCTCCATACTATTTCCATACTTTGTACATGCTTCTATTCCTGCACATATCACTTGATACAGTAATATTTTACCGAAAGATTAGTCTTTCTAGAATATAAGCTTCACATAGTAGGTATCTTTTTTGTTTTTCTGCTTAGAGAGTGTTTAGCAGTCAGCAATGTTTACTGCACTGAGTGGAAACCAACTTAAAGAAATAAAAATGGTACTAAGGTATTAAGGTGGATGCACCTAAAATATTTATAAAGCTAAAATACTAGGAGGGAAATCACTATTTCAAACCAAGCGATAATCACCGTATTGCCCCCAAATAATCCATATAAGGCCTATAATGTAAAAGGTGTTACAAAGCAGCATGAAGTTATCTTGAATTTTCATTGGCAACTTAAAAATATATACAACTAAAAAGGTTTGTTCTTGCAGTAAATACAAGCTATTACTAACAACAGACTTATACACGAATAACAGCAATACAAGGTTAATACCTGAGGGAGCTGTTGTTGGGGTTTTTTAGGTCCTGATGAAGTTTGATCACCCATTCCTGATACTCTTGCTTTTGGATGGCAGTTGATTGTTTTAATTCATTCGACCATTTGTTCTCTAAGTCCTAAAAAAGACAGTGTTCCGACCAGTTTGTTGTTGTTGTTGTTGTTTTTTTAGTTGGAGTCTCACTCTGTTGCCCAAGCTGGGGTGCAGTAACATGCTCCTGCTGGGCTCAGGCAATCCTTCTGCCTCAGCCTTCCAAATAGCCGGAACTATAGGCGTGCACTACCACGCCTGGCTAATTTTTTTTTACTTATTGTTGAGGTTAGGTCTCACCAAGTTGCCTAGGCTGTTCTCGAACCCGTAGACTCAGGCAATCCTCTCACCTCGGCCTTCCAAAGTATTAGGATTACATTTTTTTTAAACCAAAAAATAAAAAAATAAATAAAAGAAAATATACTTGCATATCCAAAAGTCATTGTATTTCACTTACTTGCTGGGATTCAAAATGTTGAGCAGCCAGTGAATTTACATCCTGATCTGTCAGTGACTTTCCCAACTCCTGCATCACTCTTTCCATTTCAATACTCTGTCTAGAACATAAACAAGCAAATCAGAAGTCTTCATCAAACTTTCAAGGTATATGACCCTTTATATTCATTGAAAAATTAATACAATGCAAAAATAAAGTTTTATTTTACAGGAATATGTTCAGGAATAAGAATTGTATTAACTGGAAGCTACTTCAAATCCTTGGAAATGATGATGATAATGCCATTTACATCAACAATGTAATTCATGCAGCTAAATGCTAATCTAACTCTAATGCAGTATTACCATGGCTATTGTTTAAAAGTTCTTCTACCTGCAAACTTCCTCAGAGAAGATACTCTGCAATTCTAACTGAAATAGATTTTCTATTTGTATATGAACTAAAGTGACTTCAGCCTCTGAAAACTAGTTTATATTATATCTAGAAATTGCCAATGATATCCTAAGAATCAAAGTATTATTAAGTCACAAAATTGCCTTTTTAGGAATGTAAAATATAGTCTGAAGACATGTTATGTCTTATGGTCTTCATGTAGCCAAAGAAACAATGTGCAAAAATAAAAATTGTTTTTCCCTACAGGAAAACTAATCAACGGCATTAGGAGTACAGAGATTTGTTTTTTATGAGGGAAATGAGGGAGCCACAGGAGGGTATGACAGGCTTCTGCAGTATTGGAAAGAGTCTGTTTCTTGATCCTGGCAATGATTTCTATAGGTGTGCTTACTCTGTGGAAATTTATTGAGCTGTACACCCACAATTTGTTGTCTTTTCTACATGTGTGGTATATTTTAATAATTAAATCCATTAAAAAATGTCCAATTAGAAGGTATCTTCTAATGCAAATGTATGCAAAGTTTGTTCTAGAATATATTTCAAACAAACTGGGAAAGAACAAAACAGACAAACTAAAAGGATTTTACTATCATTCTAGTTAATTTAAGTAAATTGCTGCTAAGAGTAAATTTATACTTATTTATAATAACTGCTGACAATACTTATATGAGATAAATGAAACTTATTCATACAAATGATTCATATATACATACATACATTTCAAAGTATGCTGCAATATATACATTTCTTAATACCTTTCGGCATTACATATTCAATATTATTTAAACCCCACTTAATTCTAATGCAGATGACCTCATTAACTTTTAATAACTACTACAGGTCATGTGAAGATTATGTTTGCAAGTGAGATTTTGTTTAGAAACAGAAATAACTGCTAAACATGTATAAATATAAACTTTGATATAAATATATACATATTTTTTCCATTACACATGTTCCCTCTAGTGGATAAAAAGTATCATTGCCACTTTTATAGTTAAGAAATATCTAGAATCTGGTTTGCTAAAAAAAAAAATCTTGTGAGGAAAAAAAGAAAATTCAACAAATAAAATTTCATGAACACTTATTTTACTTTAAATATGTCCAAAACACAAATAACTAAGGATACAATTAATGGTAACAATATATATTTTCTATAATTAGGATCAAAGAAAAATTTTTATAGTATCTCAGATGAAATAAAGAAATGTAAAATAAATATAGACTGGCTCAGTATGTCAGGCGTGATAATATTATCTTGAGACACTTAAAAAAAAGATCATTATAACTACTATTGATGCTGTGCTGAGAAACTGCCTTATAAAGATATAAATGGAATTAAAATGAAAGGAGAAATAGAAAATTTGTCATTTCTGCCCATGAATTGGATTAAGTAAATTAAGTACCAAAATTTGGAGTGAACTTCCACGGACACTAGTGAATTTCAACTCACCTTAAGTCATATGGTTCATCTTTATAAATTACCTACCAGAGGAATAAAACTCATTCTTCTTTTTTGAGCTAACAGTTTGGACAGACTAAAAAATAAACTACAAAACCAGTTTTTAAATAGATAAAATATTATTTTTATGTTTAGAAAGAAAAAAGGAAAAGCCCTACTAAGAAATTTCATCCAATAACATTTCAAACAATAAAATTAACCAAAACAAATCTAAATGTTAATCTAACTTTAATGCATAATTACCATGGCTATTGCTTAAAAGTCCTTCTACCTGCAAACTTCCTCAGAGAAGACACTCTGAATTTCCAACTAAAATGGATTTTGTATTTGTATATGAACTAAAGTGACTTCAATCTCTATTCTATAATAGAAAGAAAAACAAAGGGATACAGTACAGGTAAATGCAGATAATTAGTATGTCAACTCAGCTAAGCAAATGGTGAAGAGTCAAGTGGAACAGGAATTATCTTCTGATTTAGAAAAAGAAACAATCATAGACTCTTAGCGGCCAGATACAGAGTTGTCTGGGAGAGCCTGTGAATAGACAGCAAAGTATGCTGCAATTGAGAGTCATTTACCAGCTGAATGAAAGCATGAGTAATGAAATTACAGGTAGCCCCAGATGGGAATTTATCAATAAACCCAAATCGGAAGAATGAGTTTACCCAGAAAACCTGAGACCAAATAACATGTCCAGAATGAATTGAGGGTTGTATTATTTAAAGGTCTAGTAGGAAACAAATCAAAGTTCAACAGAAGATAACTTATTACTACTAGATAATTACATTTTTATATATTTAAAAAATCCAGTTCAAACCAGCACATCATTTAACAGTTACTCCTTTGGGACTATTAAATCAGTCACAAACAGAAGAATGAGATTTGGTCCTAATATATGCTCACAATCAAAGACATTTTACATCAGCAACACTAAAAAAATTATCTTAAAGGCATGTATGCTCAAAGTCTTAAATAAATATTTTTATGGTAATAAATTAGATTCTGCTAAATTAAAATGAATTATCTAGTAATGTTTCCTGAATTCATACCACAATCTACAGAATTATGAGAAAGCAGTCTGGAGAGCCACTTGTTTTAAAATAAATAATGCTAGCAGTTTTACTTTGAAGACAAATAAATCATAAAAGCACTGTTTGTATACTGTGTAAAGTAATCCATACAGAATGAATTCCAATCTACTGAAAATTTCTTGGAACAACACTAGCACTATTATTTTTCCTAATGGACATAAACTTACAGAATGAACTGAAAGAGACCAGGGCAACAGGGCAGGGCAATAAGGAGGTTCTGAATGAACGGCAGCATGGTAGGGTGGTTAACAGCTTGGGAGTCAGACCTCCTACTGTCAAATTCCAGCTTGCACTTGGACAATTTAATTAGCTTATTTTGGCAAAAGTTTCTTCATCTGTAAATTAGGGACAATAATAGTAGAACTGTGGTAAAGATCAAATGAGATAGCATAGTGCCTGAAACGAAGCAAACCTTCAACAGAAGTAGTCTACTTTCTTATCAGAAATAAGAATATATAAGCTCAGCAGCATTTATTTATTCGGGTAAATCACTTGAGAAAGTCTATAAATCTATGAGAACCCTCCCAGTTGATGCTATACCTTTAAACATACAAGAAAATTAACTTCTAATACTAAAGAATTTTTCTATTTTGTCCTTTAATTTTATAAAAAATAAAAACAACTTGTTCTATAGGCCATCATACTTGACAATGAAACGTTTAATTACGGTCATGCAAGAAATGTGAAATACCTCTCTCGTAATTTTTTCAGCTCCACATCTCTTTCACCAATCAGTTCTGAGATACTAACAAAGTAATTATGTTCCAAATTCAGAAGTGTTTCCGAGGCAGGAGAGTGGATTAGGTCATGGTACACATCTGCAAAATCTTCATCCCAACTGGGTTCCTCAGGCCTTGCATGCTCTAATGTGGTCTACAAGATGATACACAGACATTCTTAAATCAGTTTTTAAATTTAACACACTAGCAGAGAAGTACATATATTATGATTCCATTTTTGTACATCAGAGGGACAGAAAGACCCCCTCTATATATATGTTCATGTGTGTTTGCATGTACCCACACACATGCATGTTATATAGGATTGTCTAAGTACAGAAAAAAAATGGAGATATAAGCTAAATTCTCAACATGAGCTACCTGGAGGCGGAAAACAGGGAGAGGTACTAATGTAGAGAAAGAGACAGAAGATGTCCACAATAAAAAAATAAGTATGCTATGATCACATTTCTGTAAATAACACACACATATACATGAAGAAAGGGGTAATCAACAAAAAGCTGATGGAGGCTATTTCAGGACAGTGGGGTTTCTGATGAACTTTACTTTCTTTATATTCGAATGTATCATGTGATACAATAATTTGTATGCATTAATTATATAATCAAAAATATTTTCAGTATTAAAAATATACTGCTCACAAAGGTTATATATTTAGAAAATGAGGTTACATATGAGGTCACCTGTATAGTGATGCATTGACCTTGAAAACCCAATTCATGCACATTGTATCAAGATAAATGTGAAATTTTCTTATTTTGATATTTTATAGTGTTATATTTTCTTTTTCAAATATAAGCTTTTTTTTTGGAGTCAGAGTCTCACTCTGTCACTCAGGTTGGAGTGCAGTTACACAATCATAGCCATTACAGCCTCAACCTGGGCTCAGGCAGTCCTTTCACCTCAGCCTTCCAAGTAGCTGGAACTACCCAATTTTTTTTTTTTTTTTTTTTTACTTATTGTAGAGATGAGGTCTTTCCAAGTTGCCCAGGCTGGTCTCAAACCCCTGGGCTGGGATTACAGGTATGAGCCACTGTGTCTGGTTAGCATGTTTTTAAGTTTGAGCAGAATCTAATTTATTAGCATAAAAATATTTATGGTATGTTTTTATGGAAATTGTAGCTATCATAACGATAAAAGGACCGAGTAAACGCTGATAGACAGGAAAAGCAGAACCAAGGAGAGAGGCAAAATGGGGATACCCTCAGCACACACAGATACATCCAGGGAGGTAGAGATGCCTATCCAAGGACAGCCACCTTAACACATCAGACTCTATGCTTTTATATGAGAGGAGATGGATGTGCTGAGAAATCACTTGTCAAAGATAACATGATTTCATGGCAAAAAGCAGAAATAAGACTGAGATTTTGATGTTTTTTCCACGATTGTTCTTTGCAGATAGATACCTATAAAAAAGAACTATCTAAATTCTTCTCTTTTCTGTCCAATGAAAATATTGGAATTTATTATATGACTTGGGGAATAGCTTACCTTAACACAAATGAATCCATCACAGCAACAGGTACCTAGAACTCAGCCAATCAATAGGTAAATTTTTCACCGGTTCTTTCACGTCAATCAGTTGCCACATCAGGAGGCAAGAGTTTAAGAAGACTAGCTGATCCTAGAACTAGGATTTCATCTACTGTATGCCTCTGAAAGAAGCCTCAAGACTGTATCCTGATAACTGTTCTTCATCTTTAGACCTGGCACTGCTCTAGGAACTATAACCAGCCCAGGTGACTCGACTTCTGTTCAAAATTAGCTTCAGGCTCAGGCTACAATTTCGTTGGGAGGAGTTACTGCAAGATCATAGGGATCTGCTTGACCACACATACCATCAGACGTTTGGTAACCCCACTAAGCAGATCACCTACCTACAATACTTTGCAGCATCAATTTTAAAACCCAGGGTAAGCCTCACGAATAAGTAGAAGCATGAGAAGCACTAAACAGAGGTTTTCCTTGCTCTGTCTCAAGCCATCCTCTCAGGAGAGATGGGTCTAGAAAGGGGACTGTGGCAGCCAAGAGGAATGGGGCACTGAGGAAGGGCTGCAGAGAAAAAACGATTCAATGTCCAGAGCATTATTCCTCCACTTCCACCTTCAGACAGAAGGTCTAGCTTCTTCATTCAGTAGCCCTTATCTTTCATGGCCATAATTATCTAACAAGCTGCCTGTCTGTCACTCAACCTCATTCCTCTAAAACTTTGGCACCAGTTCACAGACTTCCTCTCTGCCTCACATCCTGTCATCACTTGGATGGCAGGGTCACCTGGATGTCCGTCCATGTGGACTATCCATCTAAGGCCTTGCCTTCTTTCTTCCCCGAACCGCACATCCTCCTTAAGCTCTCCACTCCACCTCAGCCATCCATTATCCTTACCAGAAGCAGTGCTACCTCTAACGTTCAAACATTCCAGTCTCCAACCAAAATTTCTCACTCAGTAACTCCCAGGTAATTGGCGTCCAACCTTACCAGGTCCTCCTCTGCATGGACTACTCAACGTTCTCCTGTTCAATCAGCCATCAGCTGCCACCTAGTGTCAAATTCTTTCCTAGGTAGCTTTATATTCCACGCTCCAGTCTTCGGTCACGGATTGCCAATATCCTCAGCTCCCCTGACTGATATTCCTTCTCTTACCCCCTAATAAAACCCTCATCTGATTCCTCTTCTCTATGCCTGCAGTCAGGCTGTAGAGAGCTGCAGCAGTAAAATCACAGAACTCCAAAGCGTGTGGTGGCAAGGTGGTGTCACTCTGACCTCAGTCTCCAGTGATACCTGGCAATCCCATCATTCCCTGCTCAGCTCTCTCCTCAAACATTCAACTCTCTCACTGCCTCCCACCTCGTCTATCTAAATGATCTGCTTCTCCTATTTCTCAGATAAAGTTGAGCAATCAAAAGTGAATATTCCCGACTTCCATTACCCAATTTGTAAAATTTTCTGAAATTACATCCAACCTTTCAAGCTTCTCTTTTGCTTTTCCCAGTTAAGATTAATTCTTCACTTAAGTTCTGGAATCTCTCCTTTCTAGTAATAAACTCTACCATCTAAAAACAAACAAACAAACAAACAAACCTTTGTCCCTGTGTTCCCATTCAGCAAGTACCCTATCCTTCTCTATCTAGTCAAACTTCAGTTGTCTACACTCATTCTTTTTACTTCCACATTCACACACACTCTTAAAGTCAGTGAAATCTAGGTTCCACCCTCATTAAATTACTGAAACTGATCCTGCCACAGACAAGATTACTTGGTAAACCCAATGGGTATTTTTGAGTCCTCTTTTTGCACCTTATACTTCAGTGCATCTTAGCATTCTAACAAAGTTTAATTGGTGGTGATCTTTCTTAGTAAATAAAATGATGTATGTTACAATTAATGGCATTTTAGGCTTCATGAAACAAAGTACATTATTTAAATAGAAACATGATGACAATTATATAACTATACAAGGAAGATTACTAAATTACTAAATCTGGTGGCCCTATGCTTAGTAGATAAACAAAAGTAGCCTCCCACTTTACAAAGGTGTTACATAAAAAGTATTTTGACTTATGTGCTCACTCTGATATAGGAAGGAAGCACACAAGCAGTAATATGTATTGCACATTAAAGAGTAAATATTGGTATGCAGAGAAAAAAGGATTCCACAACTGATTCAGTATTACCTCAGCAACTTAAAAATCCTTACCAAAGACCAGAATATCCTTGAAATCTACAATCTTCCTTATTGTCTTACCTCAGCATAAGCTTTGGCCCATGTACTTGCCAACTGATGTAAATCTACTTCACCTGATTTCACAGCTTCCAAGGATGCCTCAGCATCTCTATCATAATCTCGAAGGGATTCTTCTTCTATAAATTGGCTCAGAGCTTCTTTTAAGTCTGTAACAGACAACAAATACTATCATTGGCAAAATCCAGACATAAGTAGGAGAGATTTTATCTGGCTAAGAGTTTCAATGTGAAATTATATTTTATCAAGCTTATACTCTTAATAGAATCTCTAACTAAAATAAAATCAGCTCGGGGATCACTTAATTTCACAATTATTTTTCTTTACTATTACAGACCATTGCATGGAGAAATGTCAAAAATCGTAACTCTTATGTAGGCTTGATGCAAATAAAGTAGTGTTACTTTCTTAATCCTGGTACTTTAGTTTTAAGTTAAGTAGGTATAAGCACATAAAGAAATAGCTACAGATTTTGAGGACTTGAATGTTATTGTATTTAAGGAAAAAAGAGTTTTCTATATAATTTTTTATTTTGAGTCGTAGTCTCACTCTGTCACCCAGGCTGAGTGCAGTGGTATGCTCACGACCACCACAGCCTTGTCCTGCTGGGCTCAGGTGATCCTTCCACCTCAGCCTTCCAAGTAGCTAGAACTATAGGCATGCCCCACCACACCTGGCTATTTTTGTTGTTGTTGTTGATTTATAGTAGAGATGAGGTCTCACCAAGTTGCCCAGGCTGGTCTTGAACCTGTGGGCTCAAGCAATCCTCTCACCTCGGCCTTCCAAAGTGCTGGGGTTATAGGCATGAGCCACCATGCCTTTCTATATAATTTTAATGGGTACGGTTACACCCTTTAGATTTGAAAGAAAAGTTGAATGACTAGCATATTAAAACTGATTTAATTCAGAAGATTTACTACTTTGATATTACATACACCACTTAGAGACTGATAAAATGGAAAAAAGACTGAGAGAAGAGTCAGTACACCTGTGTTCTAGCCTTGGCCCTGTCTAAAGTTTTGATCTTTAGACTGGTTTAGAATCTTGAATGTGTATCAGAATCCCCTGGAGGACTTGTTATGACAGACTTTTGCATGCCACCTCCATGTTCTGATTTAGTAGGAACAGGTGGAGCCTGAGAATGTGCATGTTTAACAAGATCCCAGGTGATGCTGTTGCTGCTGATTGGTGACCACATTTTAAGAACTACTGCCTTTGGTTAAATAGTTTAACTTTACATGCCAGTTTCTGTTGGGAGCCGGCTACGGAGGCCCACTGAGCATTAGGGATCAGGGAGGGCCGTGGACCCTGAGACCGCCAAGATGAGTTCAGGAGCTGTTGACCCTATTTTCCTCCTCCTTTTACCATGCAGCCCAAGCAACCTAAAGGAACTCTGCTGGCCTAAACTGAAGGCTCTGTGACTGTGGCAGGCATGGCTCACTCTAGAAACCCATTGTTCCTGTTT